TAGATAGATAGATAGATATAGATATAGATAGATATAGATAGATTGATTGATTGATATTCACACACTTGAAGTACATCAACAAAAACGTACCAGTTTACAAGGTGATAACATATAATACTGTCCATGTAATTTAATATTCTGCACTGGCTGCAGTGGTGAATATTCTGCGCCAGATACATGCCAGAATTTTGTCTGTTGATTAAGGCCAGTGGTTTCCACTTGGTAGTTTGACCTAACACAATCATTTTAACCAGCAATTTTACTCACTAGAAATTGGCCAGACAAACTTATATTTAGTATATATCGATAACAAATAATAGCGCACACACATTGCTTTACGTGACACTATGTCTGACAATGAAAACGTAGATTTTAATTTTGTTAGCTGGAAATGAAAACCAAATGCAAAAAAATAGTAAAATAAAATAAAACAGATTCTCACGTCGCATGAACTAATTTCATCGAATTTTACCCAGCCAACTTTCGACAAGTGATATATACGACCTTTGCCCTCATTTGCACTTCTTTTAAAACTTTTCATACGTGTTACGTCGCGTGCCAAGACGAGCATAAAGTCAGTTTATTCGCGTGTTCTTATCTCGTTAGTTTTCTGGGAAAGCATTGCAGGTGTTAAATCCACTAAAACTGCTCTTAATTCTCGGTACACGGAAGCATCAGAAGAAAATATCAGAGAAACGTCTGCCTTTCTGTCATCATTAGCAATTGAGTAATTTCTTTTTAATTGCTATCTTCTTTAAATTAACCTTCTTTTTTTGTTGCAATAACCATAACCTTACTAATAATGATTTTCTCAACAATATTATCAGGTTGCTTTCATTGAATATAAAGTGACAAGTTTTCTCAATACTTGCGGCGTTAATATCCACGGATATGCTCAGAAGAATAATAGCCTAATAGGTACAAGAATGGTACGGTGATTCTGATTAATAAAGTTCTTTAAATAAAGATATGTAACATGCCTGCATCGGATTTAGATCCTTCCAACTTGATAATTTTAAACGGAACTTTTGATCCAATAAAATCCGAGCCTCTGTCAGAGGAAATGACTTAATATTTACGGATGAATGCGAAGATTAATAAAGAATCACTCCACGAAATCGTAAAGGAACAGCATTTCTAAACCGACAAATCTAGAAAATGTACATCGGCTAAAATGCTATTCAATGCCTTGATATGTAATGAAGTAATAACATAGAATAAAAACTTTGTTAGGCGACAAATCTCATTGTCGTTATCTTTTAATTGCAATTTACAGAATTCTGTTTACAAAATCGCAGGTAAAACAGTTTTTTATATGAACAAAAAAGAACTGATATTTTGATAGAAGTGAGTTTCAGCATCGAGAATTGTGCAATGTTTGTGATGTCTAAATGAAAGCGAAGTGTAAAATAATTAAATTAAGGATCCAAGATAATATCTGGTAGGTGACTGCAAAAAAATGATCAACAAATATCTAGAAATACTGGAAGTGGATTTAGCCGAATTGCCTGAGAATTTCATATCAGAAAACAGCAGAGAAGAACATTATTCGGACTGTTATCCTCATCACCAATGCCATATTCACAACGTTGTACGCTTCGGCTTTCGTCAGGTGATTGAGTTCAATACCTGGCCACAGAAGTGATGAACCAAAACTTGTAGAGTTCAGTTAAAGGGAAAAACTGAGACATGCGGAAGAGACATGGCACGTGGAACTAGAACGATCTACCCATGGGACGAGAAAAAAGGTTCAGTTTGAAATTCCACTGACATGAAGAAGGCCAGTGTTCTATCTATCTATCTATCTATCTATCTATCGATCTATCTATCTATCTATCTATCTATCTATCTATCTCTATTATATATATATATATATATATATATATATATATATATATATATATATATATATATATATATATAACTATATCTATAACTATATATATATATATATATATATATATACAGTTATAGATATAGTTATATTGATGTGAGTCTGTGACTCTGGGTTTCATGCCTTTGCGATCGTCAGACAAACTGATTAGAAATCGGACGAAACGTTGTGGATATGGCAATGAAGAAGAGGATAAAAGCTGAATAATATACATAATGCATGTAAAGAATTATCTAGCGTAAAATGTCTGCGACACTTTCTAAATTATGCAAGAAACATTTAATTAAATAATGGGAAAATGATGAACGTGCACAGAACCTTGTGCCCTATGTATTACATCGATAAAATATATGTGAAACGGAAAGTAGGCGGAAGAAGAGTAGTTAATATATTGGAGGACTTCAAAGAACTTGAATGATACAGAAGAACACGTAATTAATGTTTGAGAGCCAGTCATTCAGAAAAGTTAATGACAACTCTAGCGAATAAGTTCATAGCAAACTACCTCTTCAGCACAAAAGGAAACACCTCCCCGAGGCCACGTTCTGTCATCCACTTGTTTCAGTCCGCCAGGTATGTCATGAGTTGTTTTCTCTTGTCTCTTTTTCCCTATATTCGACCTGTGAGTATCAGATACTCCAGGCCCTCCTTTCTAATTGTGTCATTTGCCTCTTCCTGATGTTAAACATATGACTCCTCCTTGTTTGCATCCTCTCCATGACCTCATTTTTGCTCATACGCACGGTTCAAAATATCCTCCGCTCGTTTCTACACAAGCATGCACCATCAGATCATTGACTGGCAGACCCTTTTTAAATGCTCCCTCACTGTGTCGAATGGTTTGTAGGCCCCCATAACACGTTGAAGAAATATCTCTGCATTTAAAATATCAGCTGTTTAACCCAATTGTTTTAAGAGGTCCCACAGATAAAAAATCCCAAAGGACTGAATTCGGGGGAACGAGTTGACCATGGAAATAGTCCTCCCCTACCTATCCATTTTTCATGCTAAATGTCAAAAATGGGACTAAAATGTACTGGACTCTCATTATTCATGAACCACATAAATTTTCTTATTCTGATCCGCCCACAAATGTTGGTAATTTTAAATTTGTTATTCCATCTCTTCCAAATGTTGCCTCCTTGCCTGAAGAGACAAACAAGGGATTAGCAGTTTGTTCAATAAACCATCAGCAAAAGTTCACCCGTAATGAGTGATCAGAAGGTAAAAACTCTGTACACGTTGCAAATGGAACGGATACAGGAGCTTGATCTCGAACTGGGGTCTATAAGTAAAAGTGAGTTATCTATTCACATTTAGGAAGTTTCATTTAAATGGAGAGAGTTTTGCGGGTGATATGTACAGTTCCGCATAAAGTAATCTTCTGTAGCTCTCAAATACTGATGTGTCCAGGAATTTTACTCACATGATTTTTCGGTCCCCTTCTATATCATACCCAATGCCCCTATCACAACAGGGATAATTGTAGCGACCGTCTGTCATTAAAATTGGTTGTCATAAAAAGATACTGGTTCAAAATTTCTTTAAATAAAATATCATCATCGTCATTTAGAATTGTGATCTTAAGATTAAGAAATAGCCACATGGTCAATTTAGAATCTTATTCCTTTAACAAGGAAACGTTTTAGTTTTATGGATCTGCTATGTTCGAGAGAAAAAAAACATATTCTGCCCAACCTAATCAGAGAGTATGTTAGTTGCATAAAGGAAATTTAGGTGCAGCACACACGACACTGCGTTGAATAACTGGTATCTACCACAAGTTGAATCAATTTATTCAACATTTACCCCAAACCATTCGACAATATAGTGGGTCTGATGGTGGCCACACAATTCCGCACAATGTTATTTTTCATCTCTTGTAAACAGAAGCTATCAAGGATCTTGTTAATGTTCTTGTCCATTGTAGTTATTATTATTATTATTATTATTGTGTGGTACCATCTTGTCAGAGAGTAATTTTAAGTGCCTCATTACCAAGTACCCACTGGGGTCTATAAGTAAGAGTGACTTATCTATTCACATTGACGACGTTTCATTTAGATGGAGAGAGTTTTGCGGGTGATATGTGCAGTTCGAAACAAAGTAATCTTCTGTTAGCTCTCAGATGCTGTTGTGTCCAGGGATTTTACTCACATGATTTTTCGGTACCTTTCTTTATCATACCCAATCCCAACTGGAATAATTGTAGTTTTAAATTTCCACATTTTTTTCTTACATAATATCATTATATTACTTTTCTTCTTATTATTATTGTCATTATTGTATTTCCTTTGATTTCTGCTGTGTACCCATTTGTTTCCGGGTCTCAACCAGCGACCTAAGGTCAGAAATGGCATTATAACATTTTTCGCTGAGCAGTTTGAGGAAAAATATTTTACATAGATAAAGCCTTTTCTAAGGTGTGGACTGTATTTGTATGTCTTTTACAATTTTTTGCATTATATTTTTTGTATAAATTATTATTATTATTATTATTATTATTATTATTATTATTATTTCTTTTAGTATTTCAACTTGGACCTGATTTTTGCATTCTTCAAAAGAACAATTTCCTTTTTTAG